TCCATTCTTTCTGGATCAGCTGGGATTGAGAGAACAGGAGTTGAATGCTCTGACAGCTCCTGATGCAAGGGCTGATCCCACTTACTGTAAAGAGGAGACTCAGAACCAAATGCTGAATTGTGACACTGAGTTCACTGTACTTTAAATGCAGCAATTTTGTGTCCATCCACACTGTGAGGTGTCACAAGGAGAGCATTATTGAATCTGTGGTCCAGAGAGTCTGGACAGTCACCAGGTAAATAAAGGAAATGCAAATACAGATATGGAATCTCTGGTGGGCCAATTGTTTGGTTGCAATCTTCTCCTGCAATCCAAAACATTATAGGAAGCTTTTGATAGCATTTGACTGCTGAGATTTGTTTTGGTTTGGTTTTTCTAATTTATGGCTGTGCATTATTTATGGGGCTGAAGGCTGGAAGAGAGATGGCTGAATTTATAAGAATTGCTTGGTTCAAAAGGTATTTGTCTCATTCAGTGTGGTTTTGCCAGCATGTACTAGGCAAAGTGAGGGAGATATTGCCATCCATTTGCATGTGCTTAAAGGTCATATCTTTGACATATAGCTGATTTTTTTTGCCAGCAGGATGAAAACTGCTGTGTGTGAAATTTGCAGGTTTCATTGCACTCTTGGAAAAATTGTATGGTCTGATGAATAAAAAGCAACAAATCTCCACAGTGCTAGACCAAGTACCTGGAGTGCTTACCTCATTCTTTAATCTTAACTAAAAAGTAAGCTTGTGCCAGAATGGGAATGTGTCATTGTATCTGTTTTCCTGATATTAACTTTATGGGTTGTATAGTAGTAGTAAACTTTGCCCACAAAGGTTTAATTATTAAGTCTCCTTCCTCTCCTCTTGTAGTTTGCTATCAGGTATCTCTTTAGAGACTTTTCCCTCTCCCTTTCTCTGATGAATTTCAAGTTCTGTAGGGACCTGAGCATAATTATTCTCTGACTGTCCCTGGCTTAACACTCTGCTGGGCCCAGCAAGGATAACCATTCTCTGATGCAGGAGGTTTCCAGCTCTGGAAATGACTCAATGTTGGAATATTAATTCTGGGCTCTATACCCTGTCCAGAACTCTGAGGAGGGGGATGATTTGTGGGCAAAACTCCGAGAAAATACTTGTCTATAATCTTTCTGTAAAGTGCCTTTTAATATAACAGTAAAGCATTATCTGGTCTGGTTGATCCCCCTGCTGTCCAAAAACCATGAATATTATGCTGTAGAGCTGATTTTAGAGAAAGAAGCTGTGATCTTAGTTAATTTTGCATCATCTGTGCACCAAAACTCATATTTCTCTAAACACTCAGAGGGCTTAGGTGGGTGAAATTGCAGTACCTAACAGAGCGGATGCTTGTGGAGAAGGGTTGCATCCCCCTGGTGAGTATGAATGCAGAATGGGAGGCTCCTAAGGCCTTTGGTGCAGAGGAGAACGTATGTGGCCCGAAGTTTAGAATCCGACTAGCTGAGGGTGGAAGGCCGACGCCCCTCTGCAATTCCTGGCCAGCACCCTTCGGCGTCTGATGGCCTCGGGCTGTGCTGGCTGCGGACTGGCGTACCTCGCTGGTATAGGAGAGGAACGGANGCCCAGCCCAGCAGTTCTGTGCTACACTGGGCTTTCCTAGGCGGAACTCAGTGGACAGAGGGGTTGTTCCATAGCAGGTCACACTGCCCTACATCAGCAAAACCCAGCCCCTTCTCCGGAGACAACATTTCTGTTGGTCTGATTCCACTACCACCCAAAAAGTAGTACTAGGTAGATTGCCCAAAAGGGTCAAGGAAACAACTTCTTAGAGGTCAGAACACCTTCCTATCGCAGTGATGGATCCCCTCCTGATCTTTCATTTCAGTGCTGTGCAAGTTACAACACTGGGGTAGACATTAAAGATGCCCCTGTCCCACTTCAGCACAATCACTGTAACTTCTGTAGAGAGCGACAGGTTTTTATATTCTCAGAGAATAGATTGCCATATGTATCTCAAACTGTTGTCAAAGTGGATTCAAGGTAAGCTATGCGACCAAGCAGGTGTGCAGGGATAGAATATCTTGGAGGCATGTAACAAGGCTCTGCTCAAAGAGCTCCATGGTGTGCTCAAAATTTTATTAAACATAGGCTCTACAATTTTAATAATTCTCTTAAAAATCACTCATCAGTGAAACAAAAGAAAGATTCTGTACGGGGTTGTTGTTGTTTATAGATAACCAGAGAGGGAAATTTACAGGGACTATTGAAAATGACAGGCTGTGCAAAACATGCAGTTCATGCTTCCTGACTGCCAAGACAAA